GCAGCTGGAGGTGGAGAAGGGGCTGCTGGCTCAGGGAGGGGCTCCAGGGTGGAGAGTGTTGGGGTTGGGGTGCTGAGCAGCTGTGGCTTGGGGTATATGAGGGGCTCAGGGCACAGGTTTGTGATGTGTGGATGGTGGCAGAAGACTGAGAATGTGGGGGTGTAGGAGGTTGGGGATACGAGGGGCTCAGGATGGGTGTTCCAGTGTATGATCAGCTCAGATTTCGAGTCTGGGTGTGTGTGTGTGTGTGCAGGAGTGTTATGATGATGCAGCCAGATGGGGCTTGCTGGCCAGGCTTCATTTTTAAACAAAATATTATGTCAAACATAAAATGTTTCAGCATTGTCTTTATTTATGAGAAGAGTGGGGAACCTGTTTTGAGTCAGGGGTCACTGACCCACAGAAAAGAGTTGGGGCCACACAAGTGAGATGCAAAAAAACAATTCCTCCAAAAAACCCCAAGCCTCACTAATGTGGCCCCAGCTGATTTCCTGGCACTCCAGCCCCAGGCCAGATTAACTCTTCTGGAGTTCCAGGGTTAGTGGAGTTTGTCTGAGGTGGGGCCAAAAATGAGGAATCCAGTGTGCCAGTGACTGGGATAGGAATGGTGATTCAGAATCTGGGTGGAAAATAGTGTATAGGAGCAACCTGGGGTCAGGTGTCTGGCCAGGAGGGAGGGGGCAGGAGCAGGGTGCTGGTGGGTGTCTGGCCAGGGGACAGTGTGCTGGATTTCCAGGGTTAGTGGAGTTTGTCTGAGGTGGGGCCAAAAATGAGGAATCCAGTGTGCCAGTGACTGGGATAGGAATGGTGATTCAGAATCTGGGTGGAAAATAGTGTATAGGAGCAACCTGGGGTCAGGTGTCTGGCCAGGAGGGAGGGGGCAGGAGCAGGGTGCTGGTGGGTGTCTGGCCAGGGGACAGTGTGCTGGATGCTGACTGAACAGGGGGTAGGGGCAGGGTTCTGGTGGGTGTCTGGCCACAGGGCAAGAGCAGGGTGCTGGATGAGGTCTGGCCAGGGGCAGGGTGTTGGTGGAGTTTTGGCTGGGGGCAGGGGTAAGGTGCTGGTGTGGGTTTGGGCAGGGGGCAGGGTGCTGGTAGGGGGTGGGCTAGGGGGGAGGGGGTCTGGGGGGGGAAGGGGCAGGT